TCGTCACCTAGCAAACCGACTCATATACAGACCGTGCAGTAACCAATAGGTGTGAATATTGGCAGCGCGCTATCTTTTGTGGGACTTGACAACAGATAGCACACATTTTGACGCCAATTCCGTGCTAACCCAATTAATGAAATGCAGACTTCCTTCCCGACCAATAACCGCCCATACCAGATGAACATGAATGGCCTTTATTATATAGACTGACAGTCATGTTATGATAATCAATATCATGATCAAAAGGAAAACTTAAAAGCCTCATATCAACATTTTTTTTTTAAAGCCATCGATGTTGTGAGAAAATGATTTGGGTAAATCTGGCATAGATACTCGTCTCCATGGTAACACAGTGGAGAGACAGGAAACGAACTGGCATCATTCCAATAAAGATGCAAGCCATTTAATTAACATCAAATAATTTTTGTAACATTGATGAGAAGGAGGAGGAAAATAAGAAGAAGAAAAAGAAGAAGAACTTGAAGGAGAAGAAGAAGGAGAAGAAGAAGGAGAAAAAGAAGGAAAAGAAGAAGGAGAAGAAGAAGGAGAAGAAGGAGAAGAAGGAGAAGAAGAAAGAGAAGAAGAAGGAGAAGAAGAAGAAGAAGAAGAGGGGGAGGAGGAGGAGGAGGAGGAGAAGGATGAGGAGGAACTAAGAGAAAAGAATGACAGAATAAAGAACGAGTGAGAGAGAGGGAGAGTGCGAGATAGAAAGAGAGAGAGAGAGAGAGTGAGAGAGTGAGAGAGAAAGAGAAGGAGAGGGGAGGAGGAGCTAGGATAAAATTTGAAAAATAAGGGGGAGAGATCTGGTAATCGCTGGCTACCTCTGGCGATAGATGGCAGTATTTAGAATGATCGCAAATGGCAAATGCACCTTTGCTTTGAGCTTTGTTACTCAAGCTAGTAGAACTTTTGTTGAGAAGAGAAGCATCATATTAATAATGACTCGATGTGTTAATGTTCCTTTTTTTGTTTTCTATGGAAAAAAATTCAATTCGAAACCAAGGCGATGCGCTAGTGCCCTTTGGCAAGGCATTAATCCTCTCTACCAGGTTACTTACTGTACAAGCATTTATGCTTTCTTAGCAGTCATGTAAAATAACCATCACATCCATCCAAACTTAGCTTTTTGAAAATGCTAAATACCACTGGTTACTTTGGCCACTTTAAAAGCTCGTCACTACACAGAAACACAATCTACAAAATTATACTGTTCAGTTTCTCAAACTGCCATTTTTTAGCTGTTATTCTGGCAAGTGTTTCAGTGTAGTCATTCTCTGTTCTATACAGCGTAGGCCTACACGGAGCTACTTTTGGCATTCATCTAATGCTACGGTCACAAAGGTTCGTACGAACGATAATTTCGTACGAATCTCCCTTTTTTCCATTGTCTTCCCGAATTACCATTGTCTGAAAATTGTTCGTACGGCGTTCGTAGCAGTTCGTAATGGCATTTAATAATAATATTAGATTCTTATTTAGCGCACGTATCGACCTTGCAAGGTCCTCAAGGCGCTCCAACATTACCCGGCTATGCTAGGCTGCCGATTTCGACGCTCACAGCATTTTAAGGAATTCCTTCCTACCGGTACCTGGGTGGAGAGTGGCAAATGTAGATGAATGTCTTACCAAAGGACATTAGTGCCGCGGCGGGATTCGAACCGCGGACCTTGTGATCGACAGTCTGGCGACGTATCCACTCATCCATGACATTTGTGACCGAGGCTTAAGATGTCAGATTCTTTCACGCGCAAGTCTGTTTTTATAACTCCATTATTGTTTAACCTATCGTTGAGGTGGCAACAATAATTATTTTCTAGCAATAATTTTGATTTTATTAGTTCAATTTAGTACTTAGGTATATAGAGAGAAATGGGGACCCCTTAGGATGACGAAAGCATTTGTGATAGGAATTGCCTATGCCCTCATGACGGTGACCATAATTATGATAGGAATCAAAGAGATACCAGCTATCTCTCTGTAGGAATACTCCTCACTGTGAGTGGAGATGGTGCACATTGTGCGTGAATGAATCCGATGACCGGGGGTCAAGTGTGCGTTTATAAACGGTATTCCGTATTAAACGCTATATAAATCCAGATTATTATTGTTATTATTGCTATTAATGGAATCATAATACCAGATGAAGTTCGATGTACAGCCAGTGACTATACTAGTATATCAATATGCCTGTACTTTATTATGTAGAATTTCTAGAGGGAAAGTCGCATGTAGGGAAGAACAATTTGCCAATGAAATTATGAACAGATAATGGGTTAAGTCCCCTAATATTTTAAGTTAAAAAAAATCTTCAGAAAGCAATAAACAAAGATTAACAGCGCTATCAGGGTTAACATGCCCAAAATAAATATATATATATATATATATATATATATATATTTTTTTTTTTTTTTTTTTTTTTTTTTTTTTGGGGGGGGGGGGGGTCTTAACTTTGCTATATCCATCGGTAAATCCTTCAAGGTGATTCAGGGGCGAATCTATACTAGCTGCATGCAAGGGTGTCGATTTGTATCCGTGGTTGGGGGGGATGATAGGTGCCAAAATATTTTCGGCAATGGATCAAAGCAACGAAAGTGGTAGAAGCGTGTGGCAAGTTGCACCCCTCCCAAGCGCGTAGCCAGGATTAAATTTAAGGGGGGCGGTAGTGAGCACGCGAAGCGCGGTTCCTAGGGGGTTGGGTGCAGGGAGGGGGAGTTCCCCCCACCCGCGCAAAGCGCGGAAGCTTTGATGTTTCAATAAATTATTAGAGAAAGAAGACGATTCGTTGGACTGTTCTCGACTCTTAATCCTTGTTTGAATCGAATTCCCCTTCCTCCGCGCGTAGCGCGGTAGCTCTGACGTTTAGATTAGATTATTAAAGAAAGAAGACGATTCGATGTACCATTCTCGACTCTTAATCCTTGTTTGAATCAAGTTCCCCTTCCCCCGCGCGCAGCGCGAAAGCTCTGATGTTTCATTAGATTATTAAAGAAAGAAGACGATTCTATGTACCATTCTCGACTCTTAATCCTTGTTTGAATCAAGTTCCCCTTCCCCCGCTCGTAGAGCGGAATCTCTGACGTTTCATTAGATTATTAAAGAAAGAAGACGATTCTATGTACCATTCTCGACTCTTAATCCTTGTTTGAATCAAGTTCCCCTTCCCCCGCGCGTAGCGCGGAAGCTCTGACGTTTCATCAGATTATTAAGAAAGAAGACGATTCGATGTACCATTCTCGACTCTTAATCATTAATGTTTGAATCAAGTTCCCCTTCCTCCGCGCGTAGCGCGGAAGCTCTGACGTTTCATCAGATTATTAAAGAAAGAAGACGATACGATGTACCATTCTCGACTCTTAATCATTAATGTTCGAATCAAGTTCCCCTTCCCCCCCGCGCGTAGCGCGGAAGCTCTGACGTTTCATTAGATTATTAAAGAAAGAAGACGATTATATGCACCTTTTTCGACTCTGAATTCATTTTTGCCCATTCTGCGCGAAGCGCGGAAGCTTTCACATTGTATTAAATTATTAGAGAAAGAAGACGATTTGTTGTATCGTGTCCTGCATGAATTCAGTTCCCCCCCCCCTACCGCGCGAAGCGCAGAAGCTTTAATGTTTCAATAAATTATTACTCTTAATCCTTGTCTGTATTCATTTTCGCCCATTCCGCGCGTAGCGCGGAAGCTTTCACGTTTCATTAAATTATTAGTAAAAGAAGACGATTAGTTGTATCGTGTACTTTGACGTTTCATTTGATTATTACTCTTAATCCACGTCTGGATTCAGTTGCCCCCCTAACAGCTTTGCCCTGTTCGCTAAATTATTAGAGAAAGAAGACGATTCGTTGTACTGTTCTCTATATTAATCCTTGTCTGAATTCAGTTTCCCCACTGAAAATAAGTTGTGTCACAAATAAGTTGTGACATAATAATCTTTCTTCAAAAATGAAAAATGTTTTAGGAAATATCAGGAAATAAAATGAGTGAAAAAAATTAAAATAAAGATACAATGACGTGAATTTTAAAAAGGGTGAACGGAAACAACATAACAACTATAGTGAACTATTTTATAAGTCATACTAATGTCCGAAAATCTTTCTCCTTGTCTCCGATCTCATCACGAAATCGTCACAGAGTTCATCTATGTTTACACTGTCCAGGATTGTCTGATGTGCATTGCAGATTGCTACTTTTGTGCTTCGCGCTTAACATTTTAGCTCGTTGCTTTTGATGCTGCGTCTTTGCATTTGGCGCACTGCATTTCTATGATGCTGTTGATTAAACAAATTGAATAAATTCATCAATTCCTGATGAAGCCGTATGAGCGAGAATTCAATTTATTCTTGTCTCATATACGGTTGTCTTATTTACTTCGTATATATGTATGTATTATGAAAATTAGATAGCAAAATGTGTATATTGATGGTCATCTTGTGCGAGTAATAACCATTAACTACTCTCATCGGACTCTCATTAATTTTTCTCTTCATCTTTTTATATTTTTTTATGGTGAATTATTTGGGGAGGGGGGGGGGGGGTGATTGTACAGGCCATCCCCCCCACCTGAAATATTGGGGGGGGGGATATATCCCCCATCCCCCCCCCCCCCCCCCCCCGGGATCGACACCCATGGCTGCATGTCAGGAGCAGCAGGGGGCGGGGTGATTTAGGGCGGGGCGGGGCGGGGCGATCCGTTATAATGGCCGGCGAGTTCGGGGTTCGGGAATCCCCCTAGCCCAGGCTCCAGGAGAGTTATGCCGTATTTCATAATGAACCATTTCTATTTTGAAAGTGAAGTCTGAGTCACTTTCATTGTTTCAAACTACAACATAAATTATCATAATAATTTATCACTACATGGCTGTATTTGGATAATTGCGGGATCATACAAAAATTTCAAAGATATGACTTGTGCACAAATGAAAGCTTTTCATACTTGCATGCACAATTAAAGCGCAAACCGGTGCATATGCGCATGTGCGTGCACAATAATTGTTGACATTAATTTCGTAGTGCAGGTCAAGTTTGCTTGCGACCGTCCCCAGTGTGTTCTACTTCTCCTAAACAAGACAGTGTTCAATTCATTAGTTTACTATTTTCCAGAGACTAAATAGACTTTTGCCCATCACCATGGCTCAGAAGAAGGTAACCATCGAATACTGGTAAGTTATCATGGAAATTATGCGATTCTCAGAGCAGGCATACAGTACCGTCCAGTACCGGATAACTCCCCCGCTCGATTCCAGTACATTTCGCCGAGTCATTTGCGGCAGCGAGCTGCGGTTGTTGATTCTCCGGCAGCGCTCGCCACAACAAAAGTTGCGTGCGAGAAACTAGCGCAGGCGCGGCAGCAACGCCCGGTCTTTTGTCGTTGCAGTGTTAGCCAATCACAGAACAATATTATAATCATGCGGCAGCAACTCGGCAGTCATGTGATGCCATTTTATTGTAAGCAATATGGCGGCGAATCAGCACTCTCACGAAGACTCCCTAGGTTGGACAAGGCAGAAATTGGTGGAATTGGTTGAGACATACCAGAATAGACCATGCCTGTATGACAACACAAGTCCTGGCTACCACAACAGAGAGGAAAGATCAAGATCATGGATTGAAATAGCTGATCTCATGGGCAATCAAGGTGAGTCTATTCATTGACATTGTGTCAGAATGATTGGAGTTAGGTGTGGTCATGTGCTTGGTAGTTTTGTAGGGGATTTATAAATCATAAGATCTGTGCTAATTTTTATAATTTAATGAAAGGTGGTCATCAACCATGACAACTTATGAGTTGTATAAAACAACTTGGGTTGTTTTATAAAACATAAAATCAACTCACGCTCGATGACAGTAGTATCTTTGTCTACGACACGACCTTTCCGTTTCACAAAACCATGATAAGCGACAAATCCATGATACTTTGAACTAAAAAATATAGTCTTTCGATCTCTGGCACTTGCATAAAATTGTGTTTAAAGGTATAAAGACCAGTTCTGGTCATGCGATTGCATTGTGAAAGAAAGGTTGTGGAATCGATCAGAAAAGTTTGATCATCTAGCATATAAGTATTGGTGTGTACTGGAATCATCAAAATGATAAGAAATTTTGCCCAGTCTTTAAGCACTGTACAGAGAAAGATGTACATGTATATATGGGACTACGCAATACATGCGCAATATCTATCCAGATAGATATAATAATTTACCAAATATATCACTTGGTAGGCGATTTCCCGGCAAAATTTGTATCGTCACGTAATATTCAAAACATTCTTTCACATGATGGGTAATCAGAGCTTCCATTTCATTTTTTGAGAGGGGGGTGTTTCCAAAACTGGTCTTTACCTTTAAAATTGGTCTTCAGGTAAATGCAAGTTTTTGCACAAAAGGGTTTCTGAAAATTTTGATCATGATCATTATGCTCCTGCACTACAGTTTAATGTTTTTTGTATATATCAATCGTAGTGTTATGCATCTCAATTGTGCAATGTAAGTTTCTCCAAATACATGTAGGTTTAATTATAAAATTAATGTCAAGACATAGCATTTAAGGTAAGTAAGGCATAGGTTTGTAGTTTTGTACTAAATTATTTCTTTAAAAAATACCATTTACCAAATAATAAAGACATACTATTGCTATTAAATAGAGGTAAATTAGAAATTGCACACAAAAGAAGAGCTTTAAAAAGTGTTAATTTTTACCTTTTAAAAAAATACACATGTCAAAATATTTTAATGTATAAATAGTGTATTTATCTGCAAGACAGCACTGAAACTCGAGATGAAAACAAGGTCATCTAATGCCTCTATACTTTTGAATATCAATGTGAAATAGGAATGTCATGAAGAAAGAAGAACAAGTGTGTACATGATGAGTGCCCTTCAGTTTTATCCAAAGCAAACTGTGAATTGAGAAGGGTGAAACATGATCCTTGAAACGTCGGGGTTTAAACCAATATCTTTCAGTTCAACATTGAGTTTAGAATTGCTTGAAGGATATTTTTCATAGTAGATGCACAATTAAATGTATTGATGTGTTTTGTTTTCAGAGGATGAAATCCGAGCTAAGATGAAGAGCATCCGTACCCAGTACGCCCGCATCATTCAGAAGGGACAACATCCCAAGTGTAAGACTGGACACACCGTCTCCTCGTGGTGGTTACTTCCTAATCTGAATTTCTTAGATGACTTCATCATTCCAAGGAAGGCTGACTCAGAGTCAATCAAGGTACTCATTTTGATTCTTTTCCATTTTTACTTAGTTTTATCTTAATACACCATTATTTGTGTTTGTGGAAAAGAAATGTTTAAGAGTTTTTATGTTACAGCACACAAATGACACAACATGTACTCATCACTTGCAATAGAAACTACAGGTGTAGTTACAGCCATTTAAAAGTGGTAATGTACATTATACTATTTAACATTTACCATTTCCACCATTTAGTGCAACCGGTAGGTTGATCATGATTTCTAATCGTATTTCTTGTCTCGTTTTTTTTTTATTCTTCAAACTTTCAATTGGCTGTATTTTGTCTTCTTTTACCTACAAACCATTAGTCTCAATAAAATTGAAACCTTGCATTCAATGATTCAAAAGGACAGCAAACTTACTTTGACAAAACTTAAAAGTTAATGTGCCAAGTTAGCTTGCAATTGCATGATATTTCACTTATAATTTTTTTAAATGGAACAAAATAAATCAGTACAATAGTACAGAGACGAAGGGATCAATAGATATTTTAACTATTTTGTGACAAGTTTGTTTAGTAATCGCATGATATAACTATTGTAAGTGAACATGTGACAATGTTTACTCTACTTATGGAACTTTTTGTATTATTATAAAAAAAATTTTGACAGGAGAATGACATTGCAGAGTTATCTCTACTGAGTCAAGTGAGAGATGTTGGACGCACTTACAAGGAAGACAGTAATTCATTGGAGAATGGTGATGTTGCTGAAATGATGTATGACAGCATGATTCCAGACTCTGACTTTCCACAGCCTCAAAGCACTTCACGAAACAACCCCGGACAGTCGAACCAGCTCGAGGAGCATGTATCTGTTCGAGAATCCTCGCCTTACCAGTCACCGTTCACTCAACGCATTTCGCCCATATCGATATCACGTCCGTCCATCACCCAGTATCGTAGCGCCAGATCGAAGGTGCGTAAACCATTTAAGAAACTAAAGAGAGATCAAACGGCAATCAGCCTACCGTCAGGATCTACTTCCAACGCTTCAAAGCCTCCTGATGCTGCTGAGCAGGGCAATGACAAATTACTCTTAAAAGCAGTCCTTACGTACGCAGAGAAGACCACCCGATGATGATGAAGATGCCGTCTTTGGGCGCTACGTTGGCAATGAGATGAGAAGTGTTACCGATTTACAGGCAAAGAGAATTGCTAAGATGAGAATTCAGAAAGTTCTCTTCGAGGCCCAGACCGGCTGGACCGAGACTTCAAATGAAGGGGTTTATCATGCCCCCCGTGATGGAACAACTACACAAGATAACTTTCCTGTAGGGGTTGTTTGCAGTACCAATAACAGTAGAGTTATCTGAGTAAAATTAGACAACCTGAATTTATTATTTTAGGAAGACAATCTCTATAGTTTAGTAGCTTCTTGCCATATCTATGGATTTTATAAATTCTTTTTGATTTTTTTCATATAAATTTAGAGCATATAATTGGTAGAGGGACTGCTGTGAGATTGTTAATGATGTACTGCTAAAAGAACCTTTTTTCGTCCCCAAAAAGTTTATGTAGCGTGTACCCTACCTTTACCATTTATAATTGGTTAACTACATGAGCTTGCTAGAGATTTAATTAGTATTCACTTGTTTGTTATATTGAATTTGTGAGGGGAAAGAATTTAAGTGATTGACTGAGCATAGCCCTTCCATTTCTGCCTTTGGTGTAGGAAACTATTCTCTGGGTGATATACTTAAAGTGCACTTCATGAGTTTAGACATTAATATCTTTATTATAAGAGAATAGAGATAAACATTGTCAGAAGGAATAAAGACTTGCTGCGGCAGGGCTCTACACTAAGTTTTTCCCACAGTGTCCTCAGTCATTTTTGTTTATGCCCCCCCCCCCACCCCCAAATGTCAAAACAGTGGGTTTCTGAAATTTACGTTTTTGGGGGTCCATGTGTACCTTATCCCTGTTACTGTCTATCCCAGGCTAAGGTTCAGTGTACATGTTTACCATTTAGAGAGTTAGGAATCAAGACTTAATCCTGGAACATTATTCTTTCAATCGTCAAACCTTTCAGGCAGCCTTTCCGGGAGTGTATGATTGAATTGTAGGAGGGTAAATAGTAGGGTTTTGTGACAAGCATTTTTTCTCTGTTACAGGTGACCCTTCTTCAAGAATTACATGGCAGTATTTGATAGCTTTATATTTTGTCCAAAGTATATTTGCAAGTAAAATAAAGTAAACAATTCCAAAGGTCCAAGATTATTGATGGCTATGTCTATTTATTGTTTTTCTTCAAAGTATGATGTATGTAGAGTACGCTGTAAGTCGAAAGCCTCTGTTTCTCCTGGACAATTATTAACCAAGTTGAAATTACACAACACCAAGTATGCTAAATATTGGATTTATATTGAGTTCAAACTTGTGATAATTGTGGATTTCTAAAAGGTGCATTCTTGATGTGTTGTCACTGTCATACCATGCCATGTACATGTACATGTACACTACATTATCAGATACATACACTGTACATGTATGGACCATCTCCTTCGGCACAACTCTAAATTGTATTATTTACTAGTTCCATTTGTTTTGAAACAAAAGGGATCTAATGCAATGTTACATGTCCAGCCTACACATCATGAGGTCTATGGGGAAACATAGTTTATTAATCAAAGTGCCATATTATGTATATAGTGGTTACTTCCAGTTCCCCTACTATTGTACATAAAAATGCCCAATTAACATATTCTATTAAGAGTATCTTCCATACATGTACTGTACATGCACCGTACATTGTAAAGCTAATGAGTAAATGAACTAGGGAGTCGCATGTTACCCCATCAATTTTTTCAGGCACAGTTTGATGTTCAATCTTAAAATATTTTAAAAATCTTATATAAAAGCATTAACAAATATATATACAAACTATATGCAGTTATTATGCACAGATGTAATTGTATACAGTGTAAAGTTGAGGTGTAGAAGAGCTACATGTACTCATGTACCTTTTTGTTTCCCAGTGAGTGGTACATGTTGATACTTGTAAGGTTCATGTATTCTATGAATCACAAACATTCCACACCATTTATCTGTGTACCAAATGGTATCCTGCTGTTGTGACTGTCTGGTTCATATATTGATTTCAACACGTTGCTGGCTGTGAAACAGGCAATATTACGTTGTATATTTATCACATATAAGTTGCACTTGATATTTGCTTCTGCAATTTGACATGACATTATGTACCCCATATGTATCTTTCAACAACCAAGCATTTACACATGAACACAAATATTTGACACCCTTGTAGTATGTATGAGGACTACCCCCAAATATTACATGACAACTACAGAAAATGCATTAGTTGTGTAAATAAATACTAAGTTGAAAGTACTATGTCCTGACATTATTTTATATTGTGCGATATATTAAGTAATTATGCACTTTGCCTCTATTGTAATGAAAATAAAAGGAAATACATTACTGTCAGACTGAGGATTCAAGATTTATTTATTTTATTCTTAAGATTGTGAGGTGTATTTTCGTGTGTGTTTTAGGTGTTTCATGTCACGTTCATTTTTTCTTCTTGTGGGATTGATGAGAAGTACTTTTTTTGTAAACAATATTAATCATACAGTTTGGGTCAAATTGGTGAGAAAAAAACACAAAATAAAATAAGTAGTGATTAGGAATAAGAGATAGAGAAAGAGAGAGAGAGAGAGGGGGGTGAGGTGGAAGAAGAGGAAGAGAGGGAGAAGGGATGTAGAATAAGGGAGAGTGAGAGAGAGATTTGGTATGAAGGAGAGACACAGAGCTAGAGCCATTGAGGTGTTTTGTTCATACAAAATATAACAACATTGAGTTAGATCTAAGCCACAAATATTGAGCTTTGTAGAGTATGGTGCAAAGTATTAAAATGAGAGGTATACTATTTGTACAAAACAAGAGATTAGTTTATAAAATATAAATGCCCTGGAGCAGGGAGCTTTTTCAGCTCATCCATGAAAGGTCCTAATTTGTATTAAAGGTAATCCAAAGTTTTGGGAAATTTTGAAAATTGGGTGGATAGTGATTCTTTGCAATTCAGATATATTTGGATCCCCCTGTGGATGTTTTATATGCACAAGAAAATGTAGCCCCTAAAACACTTCTGCTTTCGAGAAAAATTGAATATAAAAATTTACCGGTGCTCCCGGTAAATTTGGATAAATTTAAAATAACGCCTACGGCCGTACAATGGTAGATGCGACCATGAAAATCTCAGAATATGTAGTTGTGATATATAATTTCCGAACGAGAATAGCTAATCGGTCTATTTTAGTCAAGAAACATGGTTTTATGGCTTAATTAATATCTTGACCTTGAGAGGGCGCTATACAACATAAAGAGTTTATTATTAACCATTTCATAACTTTAGACTCGATTTCAACCGCGACAACGATCACTGAATATTGTAGGATCGCATATGCTTCCAATATGTTCATTTGAACCAAATTCATGACCCCATACCAAAACTTTGTATTATCTTTAACTCTAGTAAACTACACGTATATACCTGTATAAAGCATCTAATCTAGAGGAAATCACTTTTCTTCAATTGAAGTCATCAAAGAGCTTTTGTGAACATGAGTGTACAGTGTATATTTTTTGCTAAGCTTATCACAGCTCAATGAGAACTTTGGAAAATTGGCAAAAATCAGGCAAATTAATATAAGTGAATTTATATGAATTATTTCATTCACAATTTTCCTATCCAAGAATTTAAGCTTGGAAAAAAACTAAGTGAAAACAAATATTTTGACTAGAATTTGAGCATAAATGGCCCTGGTCACATGTTAATAACACCCCTCTTGCCCTCTCTCTCTCTCCTCTCTCTCTCTCTCTTCCTCTTTTTCTCTCTCTTTCTCCCTCTTTCCCTCTACATTCTCTATTTCTCTTCTTTCCTCTTATACAGTGGTTCCTGAGGGTACTATCCGCGCTACCGAGAGCTGCACGAGATGATCGAGTCAGCAATCAAAGGCGTGGATGTTAGTGGCAAGCGGGGCAGACCTAGTAAGTAATACATTTGTAGCTAGTGACTGACTGAACAATGCCTTGTATTTCACATGGATTCTAGGCACTTGTTAGTCTCTCATCTTTTTTTAATAGAAAATGGCACATGTAAATGAGGTCAAGTTGGTTGGTAGCTGCCAAATTAGCTGATCAATGCTATGCATTATATAGCAAGGAGGATGTGTTGATCATTTTCTATCAGCAATTCTTTAAGCCACTCCACTATAAGTGATTATTTAAGTTGTTATAGTTGACCAAAATTGCACTCAAATCTTGACAATTAAAAGCATCTCAGCATTTATTTAATGCCCTGTTTTGAGGAGGATGAAATCTCTTCTAACTAGCTGCCATCAAAATACCAGTAATGGTTCTGATACAATGAGATGTGAGAAGATTAAACAGTCTGGTGATGAAGAAAACGCAGACCTCATTCTCAAATGGGTGTCCGACAAGTAAAACAAGTACTGTACCTTAAAAAGAAACTCTTTCCAAGATTACGAGAGGGATGCCAGTTCAGATTATATCTTCAGTCTACGCCTGGCGATGTCTTGTAAATGAGTTATGGTGATTTCAGATCATGTATTATATACTGTGTATGCTTGTCTCCATCGTTGAAAATATCTTTACTTGCTTTCCAGGTTCATTCGAGGTTAAGTTGAATGGCCAGGTCTTGTATTCCAAGCTCAAAAATGGAGGGTTTCCAGACTTAGATGCTGTAAGTGTGAACAAGAACACAAATGTTTCTTTTATAAGGGGGTTAGAATTTTTGATCAGTTATGGTAGTTTATATGATTAGTTTTGTAAGGAAAAGTGTGGTTCCTAATTGCCTGAAAAGAGATAAAGTAAATGTAAGCAGAGTTATTTCCTCCCCCCCCCCTCAAAAAAAAAAAATAAAAAAAATTGAACAAACATTAGGAGGTTTGACATCAAGAGAAAGGGATGTATTAAACTTACTGAAAAGGCATTTAGTTTTAAAAGAATGTACAACTGAGATATAAATATTGAATAACCAACTGTGTTGCAAAATTGGAGCTGCAAAAGAAGTCTTTTTCATTTAGGATATTTTGGGTAGACAGAATGCCAAACAAGGAAGGCTTTACTTTGGCGTAGTATGAATACATGTAGATCCGAATGACCAGATGGAAAAATTGGACTGGTCAAAGTTTACATAATAAAAAGAGAAGGTGCAGAATAGAGGCTATGCAGTTGAAGAAAGAACAGAAAAAAGAGAAAGGCAGAGAGAACTACAGCACATTTAAAAATACAAACAGTTGACTGGTACATGTACCATAATCATAACCATAACAATAACCATAACCATAACCAGCATACTAAAAACAACCAGAGATATAAGCAGATAATCCGCCCTGATTATCCGCTAACAAGAGAAAACCTGCCATGTAAGTTTTTTGTTAAAACTATACATTTCAGTAGCTTTAAAACTTGATCACACACTGATCTAGCATGATTTCAAGAAGAATGACTTCCAAACATTTTCATAACACTCTTGAAAGTTGACCTCATATACTGTTATCAACCTTTCTGATTGCTGCCCTCTCTTGTCATTATTTAAACACTTTATGTTCAAATGGGTGTATACACATACATATATCTCATTCATCTACTTGTTTAAATGCAGGCAGAAGTCTAATTGAATTTATATTATTGATTAATTGTCTCTATAGTATAAGACAGCAATTTCTTTCGTATCCCAAAATATCAATTACTATACTTTTCATACCCCCCCCCCTCCCCTCTTTTTTATGATGTAGATTGTGGAAGCCATCGAGGACTACAAGGGTGAAGGCACTGTAACTCCAGTGGAGAAGAAAGCAGCGTCATGTATCATCTTGTAAAGAGAATGGACACCCCCCCCCCCCACAGGTTTACTGGACAGAATAGATAACCCTTTTCATCTTGGCACAGCACCCAAGAATGAGACCCTTTAAGCACAAAGTGTAGAACACCCTTGACCCTTTTTTTAATGCAGGTATAACAAAGCGCTCAAATGGTAATAGATATCATTCAGTTTTGAATTTGAGTGATATCAAACTTCAGCAACTTTTTTCTTCTTCTGAGGTACATGGCTGTTTAAGTTGAATTATTTGTTTCATGTTACTCAGGTAATTTTTAGTTGTGAGATGAGGGGTCAGGTTAAACCTTTAAGGAAGAAAATCAAGAATCTAATGTAATAACAGTAATCTGGTAAAAATAACAAACACACAAAAACTAATATGAAACACATTCAATTTGATGTATAGGGATATCTTGTTCAATGCATGAATTCCTTTTTATAGTATGAATTTAAAGTACCATATGCTATAATATCCATTCCATTCTGTCCAGTAAACCTACATCGACAAATGTCTTTCATTCTCTAAGTCACATGAAATCATACTTTCCCCTTAGCATTACTGACTCATGGTCCAACTAATGACAAGTTGGGTTGAAAGGGGAGGAACCACCTCCCCCTATCCAAGCTTTGATGTAATCTGGGTCTGTTTGTAAAGCTAGAGGTAAAGAGATTTCTTGTGTGCAATATATGTCATGTTATATTTTGTAATTTTCGTAAATGTATTACAGTTAACTAGATTATTCTAAGCCTTGCCAAGTTTTGTAATTGCCCAAGTATGTGATAAAACTGATTAGTCCCAATTCATGTTTCTTGAATATATTAATAATAATAATAATAAAGTAATTTTTATATAGCGCATAATAATAAATTCTCTATGCGCTTTACAACATCAAATATACAATAAATTACATGATTGATCTAAAGATTTAATTATACATGAATTAACAGAAATACATATCGTATACAATGATGACAAAATAAGATATAATATAAATGATATAAACTTATGAACACAATTATAATAGTTAAATAATTACGATCTTTTATTTTAAGGAAATAACATATTGAAGCTTCGTGATATATTGAAGTTCACATCTAAGAGTATTCAACAAAAGGCCTAATTCAACCAGTCCACTTTTGATTCTTGAGTTACAAAGAACAAAAATAACATCAAATTTAATTACAGGGGGTATGAATAATTCAGTTGTTTAACTGTTTATATGATGTATAGATATTTTGTTTATAGCATATCCGTCATGAAAAAGAGTTTGGTTTTATAATTATGTGGTATCTTTGAGTGATTATTGTTTACGAGAAATGTGATGAAGCACAAAGTAGGCTGTAATTATTCTCAGGGAAGAGTACATTATCTTGATATTATTAACCATTGGCCATGAAAGAATAAAGCAAAATAATTCAACAACATTTGCGTCTAATATTTTGCATCTTTGCTAAAAAAAAAAAATCACATCTACAATTCGGTAAATATAATCACATGGCAATCACTTTGAGAAACAAAAATACGATGGTCTTTATATTTTGTGGTATTAATGATAGTTATGTTAAACGTGACCTTGAAAATAATAGTGGAACTAAATCTAAAATAAAATAGAATGATGGAGTTCAGCTCAAAAGCTTTGTACATCCGAATCGGTTATTTCAAAGAATAATTCTGCACTTAACTGTGTTTGAATTTCTCTTCAGCTTTGCTTACAAATCCATTTATCTATCACATTTTTAATTATTTTTTTTATAAAAGATGTCCGAAAATGTTATGGTAAGTTTGAGGCTTTCATTTATTGGTCTAGAAATCGTAACTGCCACTGATGCCTTGAAGGTTTATGTCCATGTTGAAATAAGCCCGGTGTCAGAGACTTATGCAGTTTTGTACAATCCATCCCAATTCATAGTTATTGACTATCTCAGAAATAAATGCAATTAAAACAAAATTTCCAACAGCATATCTTTAATCTTTCCCTCTGTTCTTTTGAGATACATGTAACTTCTGGTTTTAGAACGCAAGTGTCAACTGAGGGCAGGGTGGAGAGAGAGAAAGAGAGAGGGAGCTGGAGAGAGATGGGTGAACAGAAAGAGGATGAGATAAGAAAGAGACAGAGAGGGAGAGAGAGGAGAAGGGAGGGGGGTTGAAAGAGAACCAAGTTGAGGTGGAGAAAATGATAAAGACAAAGAGCCAATAGGGATGGCGAGACGATGACAGGTCAATGTTCAAATTAACACGCCGTAACAATGCAGTTACACGTACCATATTAATCTAATAAGAATGAATTGACTTTAGAATCCAGATAAACGTCAACATAAAACCTACCAAAATGTTTTAAACTCGAGTAAGCTCGTTTATATCTCTTTCGCCATGGCCTAATCAACGCTTCGTTTAGTATCATTAGAAAGTTTGTTTTTCCTTTTCTAAATCAAACCAAATATAACTGGGGAGTAGTGAGCCCAATAAATATATATTTTTTTTAACCAACACCCCCCTCTTGAGAGATAGGCGGGGGGGGGGGGGGAGTAGTGAGCATTGTTTTTTTTTTACTCGACACCCCCCCCCCCCCTCCTTGAGCCAAAAAAAAGCAACATTTTGGTAACTGTCTTTTTGTTAAACTTTTTTCTGCCAGGGGTGGGGGCCCGGGCCCCTCGTGCCCCCCCCCCTGGATCCGCCCCTGGCCCCAGAGAAGTTAAGAGAATGACCGCAAAGTAATTGTCGCTGAACAGAACAAAACTGTCGTACATTATTAAAGGCTCATACCCCAAGATATGAAGGCAAGCTGGAGTATTTTTTTGTGGGACAGTGATTGTCGCTGCCTGAGGGACCTGTGCTTACACTAGTTTGTAATTCAACCAAATCTGGTGTTGGCGAAATATAATGGATACACATGGACATTAGGCCTAAAAATAAAAAAAGATGTTGTATTGCCCTTTAGGTGCGAAAACATGGGTCGGTCGGTCGGAAATCTTTTTTTTTCCCTTCCTTTTTGGGGTGATATTTCACAGTTTTTAATTTATCAATATTTTTTCTCTCAAAAAACGGTTAAAAAAAAACTTTTTTAAAAAGCCGACGGTAGATTTCAAGATTTTGGGGTCGGTCGCAAAGGGCAAACAACATCTTTTTTTTTATTAGGCCTTACTGCTATGTGGCTTTAAAACAATGCTCCTGCCAAAAAAAAAAACAATATAAACAAATACGACCCTGATTTACTTCCATTCATGAACTTACAGCTGCAAGTTCAAGGAGGCTCTTTTGATATTTCAGTCTTACTTCCCGTCTGTAATGGCCATTATTCGTACAAATCTTTAAACGCGTCATTGTTTTTACAGGATGTGTCTCATACTACGAAATCCGGGATTTGGTTTTGATATGGCATTGGACGTCGCAGACTCGCGTGCCCCCCCCCCACCCTCAGTATTATTGAGGGTATGCGTATGCTTGTTCCCTCCCTTTGAAAGCACCCCCTATTTCAGGACTGCCAACATTTATGCCTTGGAGACCCCCCCCCCCTAAATCCGGATCTCTGCTTAATGTATCCCCCTATCTATGATATTCATTTTTTAAATTTTCTCAGGGGTCCAAAGAGAGAGAGAGAGAGAGAGAGAGAAGTAAAAAAAACTTTTTAAAGAAATGTCCGGATGAAAAGTCAAATACACCCCCTTTTTATATTATTCTCGGGCAGGACTTTATCGCGCGAAAAGTACCCCTTTACCGGAGATTTGGGGAACACGACTGCGGTCCATCAGACCCCGAAGTGGGGGGGGGGGGGTGGCTCGCGTGTAGCCTACTGGGAGCGAGAATGGAGATGGTTGGGCAAGGGACACAGCCAGTATAAGGGAGGGGTGATTTCGAAAGGATTCACAAGAATATACTTAACACTTGCAATCAGAACAATGCTTAGACAAGTAGACAACACATATCGGCACCATATAAAACCCACCGACCAGTGTTCGCTATATGTTACACCTAAATAATTACGCTACCGTCTCAAACTTCTAAAGGCAAAAGAATGAACAAGAAAAGGTCCCGATGACGTCATGCTTTACTGTTAAAATATTCAGGTAACCACAGAGTATCAAGGGTTATTGAAGGTTTTCGTTTTTGTCACCAGTGCCTGGTCTTTACATCAAAGCCTACTGTGACGTGATCGAAAGTGGACATACTTCAGAAATCGTCTTGGTGCTGTGAATTTAAGGAGCTTTTAACTTCGATCAGCAATACAATCTCGAATTTGCCTGTCTGCGAAGGTACGGAGTATTCTCTTGGCAGTTTTCTTCGAAGACAATTAAGACAGCGCGAACGAACGGGATCTAAAAGAAGATGCCTGACAGTTCGATAGTTTGGGATCATCAAAGTTTCGTGGATCATGCAGGATGGCTTGAAGCCCATCATTCCTCGGCATGGGATTCTCATGAGATTCACAGTCCGCCTGATCCGGTGCCTGATCCTGTGCCTGATCCTGTGACAACCCCACATCAAGCACGGCGTGGGTAGGTGTTCAGTCTAAATTATACATACAGTTAAACCTGTCTTTAGCGACCGCCCAAGAAAAACACAAAAGTGGTCTTTGTAGACAGGTTCCTTTAGTATTTGTTTCAATGAGAAACCATTTTCAAGGGAAACAAAAAAAATGCGGTCTTTGTAGACAGGTGGTCACTTAGGCAGGTTGGACTGTATATTGTCTGCCTAATTCGGGGGCACAATTAAACAAAATATTAGCCTAGTTGATCTCGAAACTGTACTGTGTCCCGAGAGTACAGTCTTGAGATCACTAAGGGGTTTTAGATTTAACCTCGACCCGACGAATACAAATTCATTATTTGTTTTATATACCGCATTTCGCGTGCGTATCCTTAAAAAATGATATTTTTTATTTATAGAACGTGTCTGTCAGTTTCTAATTGCAGGGGAAGATACTGATCAAAATGGTTTGAGAAGAGTGAATGTATTACTGAGCGAAAGTGCTAACTCAATGCCAATTTACTGCGCACTTGCCTCGTAGAAGTAGAAGTAAAAGTAGCTATAGGCCTATATACACAGTAAATATTTTTCGCTTTTTAAAGCGCCCAAGCAGTCTATAGTAAATTCTGATGCCCGGACTTTTGATCAATCAAATGCCTAGAATATTGACATGCGATATAGAAGGTGAAATATATAACATTGTAAAGCCTGTAACAACCGACGATAAGGGTCTTTTAATATTGTACATTCCCATGGCATATATATACATACAGTATATATAAACCTAGGGGCGGTGGTTAACCGTGGGGAAATATATCACTCGCCAGACTCGCTGTTCAGTTTTTGGAACTCCTTTATTTTTAAAACCTTAGGGTCGAATGTGGAAAACCCATCTTTACAGTGAGTTTTCACGTCTAATAAAAATGGGGAAATAGGCTCGGAACATTTTCGATGCATTCATTGTGACGTCATTCGAGCTATTCAGATTTTCATAGCTTTTGTTACGTGACAATGCTTGCGCGTATACTGTATATGTATTATGACATCATAAAGAAAGCTGATGAGGGGTTACGCGCGTCGAAACCAAAACATTACGCGCTTGTGAACTTGAATAAAGTTTGTTGAACCGTACCGTCGAAATAATGGGCCACGGAGGGCTAAGCCTAAGGGACAATTAATTCAATTCAATTCAATTCATTTATTTTTCCTCTTTCATATTTACAATGATGGTACATTTTTACATATTCACATATTAATATACATATCGATCAATTTGCACAATACAATACATTAAAAAAAACAATGAAGTTGAAAGGGAAGAAGGGCCTCTTCAAAATGATAAAGGGACAACTCGACATCGACTACCAATCTCACACCAACCCTAAAGCCAGACAGACGTAGACGAGGACACTCCAACCAATTTGAAATTCGCCGCACCAACTCGGACGTCTATGCCAACTCATATTTCCCAAGGACTGTAAAGACATGGAACAACCTACAACAAGCAACCATCGACAAAACCTTCCCGCTCTCAGTTAAAAATGCTGTTACTTAAGAACTTTTTTCCAAACTGTAATCGTCCACCCTCCACCACCTCCAGTCAAAACTCTTCTTCGGAGTATTTAGGAGGAAAAGAATCCAAGATCCAGGATCCAAGGCCGACTAAAAAGCAGATCGAGCTTGTAGGGTGTAAGCCCCCTGTAAACGTAATTATTATGAATTATTATTTTATGAGAACAAAACAGCAACATTAACATACTAACTGATTCAGTAATACAAAAATAATTTTTAAACGCAAAACAATGATAAATAGCCTGCATACACATAAAGAAACAATCAAAGTTAAACAAACATCAAAGTTGCATAACGGCACTCTACAAATTATATTTGATTGGGAATGCAAAAGCCTAGTCACTATTCAGAAGAAAGCTTTTAAGTCTCCAATATTTCAATATGTCTATGATACTGTATACCGCCTCCTGATCCCGGCCTCTGAAAGAAAATATACTAGTAAATAACAATAATTGTATTCACAAGTATTTGATAGATCTCAATTGGAAGAGCTTGCTGTTGGTGCCTAGGAATATACCCCGTTACACCGGTCCAATGTAACTTTAAACAAGATAAACTAGATTTCTTAGAACATGATTGAAACGCTATTTTTCTTAGCGGCAGACAAGATTGTTTATGAAGACCATTTTATTTAGGCCTACTGAGGAACGCATGTCCTAGGGCTAGGCCTAGGTTATCGCTTCAAGGGGTTATTAATATTATTTATTTTTCATTTTTGTATGTAAGGTCTATACTATAAAGTGTATGTGGTGAAATACTAATCTAGACTGTATAGCGGGTCTCTTTTTCACTTAATAAATTTACACGTGGACTACCACACAATTTTCTGACCTTTACCTGTCATTCCAATGCAATGATAAAACACAATCACTATAGATCTACTGTTCTATGAGCAAATTACTTCAATGTATTTCTGTTGCAAGCACAATTAATTTAGAGCTCCAAAGAATCTCCCCCCCCCCCAAGTCGGTAGGGAAGTGGCCTACATGTCATAATAAGTGATAGGCCTACTAGTATCAAAATCTTGAATTGCTTTTTCTCTTCCAGACAGCTAGGGGGAGTAAGTATTCATAGTGTTCTTTTTTAATTTGTTATAAATACGTTTTCCCTTTATGTATATTGCATGTATATCTAGATCTAGATTCTAGGCCTAGAACACGACTTGTAATATGAAATTGCCAAATAAATAATAGTCTAGGGTCTAGGCCTAGACTTTAATACAAATTTTAATAATCAATACCTTGTCCTTATCAGAGTAGACCTAGGAAGAAATCTAGGCTGTGCCCAAAGATAAAGATTTAGAAAAAAGTAACGATTGGCTAAATTCTGGGGGGGGGGGGAGGGGTACTTAGAAAGGGCAACTCCTTACTCGATGTAAAAACTAGATCTCCGCGGATTACATCTTATTCAGACTTATTCTTTAGGTAGAATGTATAAATTATGTAGTCTACACATAAAGGAAACATCCCGCCATTATTCACTTCTCACGTGACACGTACTCAATCGACGTCGACGCGATCCTCGAAACTCGCTAATTTGCATAAGCGCGCGTTTTTTATTTGACACTTACTAATTTGCATATGCGCGCGTTTTTTATTTCACACTTTCTGATTGGCTACAAATTATCCGTAGCTTAGCTTTGATTGGTAGGTTCTCAGATGTTGCCGGTCGGCTACTCGTATCCCGAATCCTCATTTGCATACATCATCTATTATAAATAGGTCGATCACCAGGTTGTACATCATTCATTTGATTGATTGAAATCCTAAGCAATCATCATGCCGTCTCAGAGGAGTCCTACCAAGCGAAGTCCGACCAAACGTAGCCCCCAGAAGGGAGCTGGGAAGGGAGGCAAGGGATCCAAACGAGGAGGAAAGGCCAGGCGTCGTGGTGGAACCGCTGTAAGGAGACGTCGACGAAGACGCGAGAGCTATGGAATCTACATCTACAAAGTGTTGAAGCAAGTTCATCCCGACACTGGCATTTCTAGCCGCGGCATGTCCATCATGAACAGTTTTGTCAACGATGTGTTTGAGCGCGTCGCTGCCGAAGCTTCCCGTCTTACCAAGTACAACCGCAGGAGCACCGTTTCAAGCCGCGAGATCCAGACCGCTGTCCGCCTTCTTCTCCCTGGAGAACTGGCCAAGCACGCCGTTTCTGAAGGCACCAAAGCTGTCACCAAATACACCACGTCTCGATAGATCCGAGACCTGGCTGGCCTGGAGACCATCTCCAAAACCAACGGCTCTTTTCAGAGCCACCAATTTTCCAAGAAAGAATCGAGATAGATTTTCGGCTAATTTATCCCCTCGACAATCCTCTCTCTACAATTGTAAACCAATAGTCCAATGGCTTCTATTGGAAAATCAATAATGATAAATCAAATCGATTTTGGCAACTGTCCACCAAAAAAAATATAGAAGGGGTCTAGATAGAGTCTAGCCTAGGTCTAGACTCTTATCTAGAATTTGCTCTAGAAATCTAGAGTCTAGATCTAGACCTAGATCTAGATCTAGACCTAAGCAAACGAAAATTAAGCAAAATATTAAAGTCTAGACTCTAGATCTAGACTTTGCTGTCATTTCAATATCTGGCACTGTAATATCAGAAAGCGAAATTTGATAATTAATAGATCTAGATTCTAGAATGATCATGTTTAAATCCCCCTCTTCCTTTTTTGATTTAATTCACGTGTAGGCCTAGACCCTAGATCTAGACTACCAATCATCTGGAGAAACAAACCCCGTATGAATAGCTAGAACAAAATAAAAACGACACTTTAAAAATTTCACCTGGCATTTATTTTTGTAGGATAGTCTACGGTTAAGAAGTAACAGTTAGGCCCAAGAAGAAAATGAGGGTTAACATAAAATCCCGCGTATCTGTAACTTTTATTTTTGTATTTATTGTGTTGTTGTTTTGAAGAGTGTGATCTATTATTACGTATAGACCTCTAGATCTAGTATGTTTTAAAATAGGCCTATATTTTTGTCAAACAATATTTTACAGAATCATAACTGTCGTAGACTATGCCTCATTGTCTTTGTGTGAGTGACCCGGGCTTATTCAATTTGGCCCATTATTCGTGGATGAGATCATTTGCCTGCATATTAGCAGCTCCGAGGGAGCTCCGGGTCAGTCTGAGGCGGCTGTCTTTTTCATGTACCCTCAGTCGCCCCTTTTTACATAGGAAAAGTGACGGACCCTTTAACTTCAGCTAAGTGCCCATATTCAAAGCTGTGAGGTACCCCTTTTTACTTTAACAAGTGCCCTTTCCTTTATAATAAGTGCCCCTTTTCCTTCTGATAAATGCTCATGTACGTCTCTTTGATGAGTGCCCCTTTTCATGTCTAATAAGTGTCCCTTTTCTTCTGATAAAACCCCCTTTTTTCAATAAGAGCCCTTTCCCCTACTCAGTGGCGGATCCAGCCGGCGGGAAGAGGGGGGGGGGGGGGGCATCCGTGAGAGAATATTAGTTTCGACTCAGCCGCCGGTGAATAAGCGGGGGGGGGGGGGGTAGGAGGCACTTTTTTGGGGTCCAATTTTTAATACAAAATTAAGTGCCGTCTCAGCCGGCGGCGAATAAGCGGGGGGCGCTTAATTTTGTTTTTTGTTTTATAAAGGTTAACTTTACGTTATTATCCTATTTTTTTAAATCGTTTTGGGGGGCTGGGGGGGGGGGCGGGCCGGAAAAATCGCTACGTTGATCCGCCCTGCCCCTACTCATAAATGCCTCTTCTCACACCTTTGATAAATGTCTCTATTAAAATCTGATATGTGCCCCATTTCCTTCGACAAGTGCCCCTTTCCATTCTCGCAAGTGCCCCTATTTAGGTACAAGAGTTACCTCTTACCACCTCTGATAGGTGTCCATTCACCTTTTATAAATGCCTCATTTCAAATTTGAGAGGTGCCCCCTTTAACTTTCTATAAGTGCCCCTTTTATGTTGTAATAAGTATCCCTTTTCCATTCTCGTAAGTTATTTTTTTTACCATATCTGATAATTACTTTGACACGTGCTCCTTTTCTTTTTTAATTAGTGCCCCCCTTTTCACCTTACTCCCTTTGTATTTATTTTAGAAACATCAACTTGAAGGCAAACATCGGATCAGTAACGATCGAAACTACGAAAAGAAGCGTGTCAACAGTAGGCCTATCATCTACCAGTGGCCTTGGCGTCAAGACCGAGCAAGGATCTGGTAATTTTCTCTTAATTCTATCAAATATTCAACGTTATAACTAATGACGTAGGGATTATGTGATTGTGATATTTCATGAACTCATAAAATGGGTTAATGTTATATATATATGTTAAAACTTGATGGAAAAGGGGCAGCGGGGACTTCGTTTACACCGTATGATCATCATTATTATAATTCTTGTGACGATGATAATGAAATAACGAATATGTGATTTTATAGCTATTGTAATCTCTTCACAATGACGATAATAAGAACGAAATGATACTCCCCTCCCTTTTTGTATTTATTTATTATTTATTTATCTATTTATCTATCTTTTTTAATATTTTGTATAAACTTCTCCCTCATTTCAGACGGAATCACATCTCCTATCATTTTGGAAGAGACTCAAAACCACACCAGTACCACCAGTGGGGTAACGAATAGTACTGATGCATACTCAATCACTGAGTCGTATGATATGCCTAATGTGGGTGCTGCTCGTGCACCTGTTCAACCTCGAGGCTTCTTTGATCAACATCGCGTCTTCGTATTCGCTGGCATTGCCGTGTCCGCTGTCATACTCATCGTCGTAGTCGCATTACTTGTCGTCATACTTCGTCGGTCACGAAGGAAGAAACTGTAAGTTGTCGCAGTATGCTGATTAATTTTGTGTAACCGGGCCATGGTGGCTCAGTGGTTAGAGCGCCCGCCTCATGAACGGGAGGTCGTGGGTTCGAACCTCGGCCGAGTCATACCAAAGACTTATTACAATGGGACCTTCTGCCTTCTAGCTAGGCGCTCAGCATATTAGATTGGAGAAGGGTAGTAATAACATATTATTTTATGCAGGGCCCGCTGGAAGAGCAGTTTCATAACTGAAGTTGGCTACCCTGGGTAAATAAAACGTTATTAGGCCTAGTATTATTATTATTATTATAATGTGATATTAATGTTATAAGGGTTCTTATTTATGTACGCCGACCGACTTCCATCGTTTAGCTGCGAGCATGCCGATCTCTGTAAGTGGTCGTGTAATTATGTATTACTCTAACTACCCTCCCCCCTCTCTCTCTCTCTCTCTCTCTCTCTCTCTCTCTCTCCAAGTTCAATTTTCGCAATTTGATTTGGGGGAGGGGGTCCATACATCTCAATCGGATGCAGTGCCCATTCATTGTATACCGTGCCTGGTTTTAAGATGACGAGCAATGCATGAAGGCAATCAGTGAATAACATGGAAATGCTAAAAACAGAAGCTAAAAACTAAGATACCAAAATAATACCTTTATTTAGTCCTCTGGAAACGAAACATATCGGTAAAAAAACTACTCCTGTTAAGAGTGAAGACGAGTATTATTTGTTGTTATGATCAGTGCATGCATGCTTTGCCTCTCTGCCTCGGTGTGGCCCAATTATCACACTTTTTAATGGTTTTGGTATTTTTCCTTTTTCTTTTAACAGAAAACAAGTTACTCTCAACTCCACAAAGGCACCAACCAGTAAGTTTATATTATTGTTATTATTATCACTATTATTAACATTATCCGATTTTTATTTTTGATATCTAGGTTTATTTATTTATTTCATTTTATTATCATTGTTTTTTTTTTTTTGGGGGGGGGGATTTCGGCCACTAAACGTTGGCGTGATCACACATCTTGTGTGGTTTTAAAACTACAATATTCGAGAATTTGATTTACATGGAATAGTCTCGGAATAAAACGATGGATTTATTTGATATGATTCAACCTCGTCCCGTATACATACTGATTGGCATATTTGCATCGCCCATAACATCATGGTCAACGAAGAAACCATTTCAAGTTTCAATTTCAAGTTTTTATTGTTCCACATTTTACCAAAAATATAGACATATTATGAAGTAAAAATTTATAGGGCACGTCTCAATGATTCTCACTTCATATTATAGATTAGGTAGAATATGAGGAACCTTTTAAAAATCAGTGCTTGTATATTATAGGTTCCTAGTAAAATAAGTATTGTAGATGAAAAACGTAGCAGTAGAGAAAGACGTAATTTAGAGGGGGGATTTAAAGCTCCACTGTACTACTTGTAGCTAATTGCTCCCTCTAATGCCTAATCGGTGACCATTTGGTCCTCCGTGACCCTCTTTTTATTTTGTTAATTGAGAGCTGAGTTGATGAGATAGCCATCTGTCAGTGACCTTGCTGGTGGTCTAATCCCTCCTAGCCAAACTAGTACAGACGGTCTTTAAAACACAATGGAATAATGAAATTTGTATACAAAATAATGCATTAGCACCAATACCCATTTACTTGCAACTATGAATCCTTAGGCAAGGTTCGTCGTCTAGTGAAGATGGAGAGTCAGGAGAGTCAGCATACCTATGAGGAGGTACAGCTTCATAAGAAAGATGATAACATGACCACAATGAGCAGCTTGGACACCAGGCTAACAACGCCCTCTACTGCCATCAGCAATGGAGGTTTGTAAATTGCTTGTCTTTCTAGTATTTATGTTTTCATATAGATAAGAGCTAAAAATTTAAATTACTATCAATTCGAATTTTTTTCATAGTTTCTGGTAATGATTTTTCGAGACCTCTAATTGATGTAACCACGAGACATCATTATGAATGATAGCATTTCAAGAAAGGAGAAGAAAAAAAGTCCCTGACTGATAACTTTAGGATAACAAGTCATACTTAAATTGTTATTATTCATATTGGTAGTTTTCAAACTATATGAATGCATAATATCAATTGGCAACTATATGAACATAATTATGATATTGTCTACATTAACTTTGTACGTCTTTATGTCGTATTACCTAGTGAACATTATTTCAAAATGATTATTAATATTTTCCCCTGAGTAACTTTTCTGCCCGAAACGTTCCCAAAATGTCCTGCAGGAAAGTCAAGAAAAAGAGGGCGCGTGGTAATAAGGGGGTAGGTCGGCCACTTCGGAATCCTCTAGGTTAAGGTTTATGTATGTGGCTTATTGACTAATTCATTTTCTTTACGAGTTATTTTTGCACTTATGTTTTATCTTGTAGGAGGAAAAAGTGACCCCAAGAATGCAAAGGTCGAACAGTGTGGAAAAGGACCATTTTACTTTGAGTTAGACGAATCCAGCGGCCAACCTACCATACCCGTTTATTCAACGCCTATTTCGAAACGAACTGACGAATTTTCCGCGAAAACGGATGTCGAAAAGACTGGTGTCTATCGTTTGTACAGTGAGCCTATTCCTTTTACCAAAACGAAGGACCAAGGTGACAAGATCCAAGAAAATGTTCGATATTCTACCCCTACTCCAACCTATTTCATCGTCGATCCTTCTCAACATCAAGATAAGAAGATTGGCGCCGGTACAACCCTTCCTCGTAGAATGCTCACACGACAATGTGACGTAACAATCGAAAATTATGATAAACTTGATCGTAGCTTCACGATGACGTCATCGTCACCCGGAAAGGAGAAAACAAGCGGACTGGTTTCAGATGATATGGGACCATACAATTGCCTGAACCGTGATCAGAATACAGCGAATATGGTAAAATCCTCGTCAACTTCCCCAATGGCAATTGATTCACCACCAAAGGAAAAGGTGTCTGGTCTTTTTGAGGCTAAAGGATACAACACGTTGGCGTTTTAGGGGATTATTTTGAAAACATGAACTTTCCTTTGCTTCTGAGTGACAATTTCCATCTTATAGACAACACAACATTCATTGTAGTATACAAAGGTGGGAATTCGTCTTGATGAAAATGATGTACTGTGCTATATTATTCTTTCCGTTTCATTCACTTTCAAAGTTTTAAATACAAATTAATCTTGTTTTCCATCATTTTTTAGTTTTCTCGTGATGGCACATTAAGAGAAATCTAGAAATATTGAAACTATGACAATTGTTGTCATGAATGTTAATATAGAGAAGCTAGTATCACAACAACAAAACAAACACATGCCTATTTACAAGGTAAAGGTCTGACTTGTAAATAAAATTGTGAATGTTGTAATTCATCTCTTATTGTAAATAATTACACTATCGTCGCGTGTTTTAAGATAGGAGAAGCTGTAAATACATTTCCTGTTTGTCCTTCTTTTCTGTCTGACTTATTTTACATTCTTTATATTTTTCTTTCTCCCTCCTTTATTACAAATGAAAATCACAATGAGCTGTAAATTGTGATCTCTTGGTATATTGTTAATGGAATTTTGGTGAAGAAAAAAATGTTTTGTAAATTCTTATCCATTTCTAAGTTCTAACAAAAAAATGTATACGGAGTGTAAATGAATTCATCATAATTACCATGAAAGTAAAACAATGGCGCTCATTTGTAAATTTGTCAATAGCATCCTGCGCTCACACAACATGCCTATACATGGATTTTGTGTGATCATGGTTCTCAAAAACTTATCTAAAAAGATATCTTTACCAGAATGAAAGTACATGCAAAATGTCATATCAAAATATATGGGTTTTCTCTCTATTAATGATAATTGGAGCCCTAATTTTTTTTCTAAACAGCAAAATGGGTGAATAAAACACTGCCGAGTTGCACAATTCAAGTGCAAAAAGAAAAATGGCTGTCATTTTGCAATCATACTTTTACGAAAGTGTTAATTATAATTTTGTACATTTGGGTCTTTTTCCAAGTTTTGAGATTTTCACCGTGCAAATCCCTGCTACACCCTGTAGCATGTTTAATGAACCAGCTTGTGCATGTAACTTTACTATATTCATTGTGTTGTATATATCATATGAGAACAACGAAGGCATTCCCTTTTTTGTAATAAATACATTTGTTAAAAAATATCGCCGTTTTAAAAGCAAAATCGATTAGAAAAAGAAAAAAGAGTGACAGGCCAGGTATGTACAGGAGAGAGAGAAAGAGAGAGAGAGAGAGAGAGAGAGAGAGAGAAGAAAATTGTTGGAGAGTTTTTGAAATAGTGTACACAGTACAAATTTATAATTAACTGTATTAATATAAGACAAAGAAGCGTACACTTAAGTTTTATGTCCGATTCAAAAGAGGGTCAGTATAACAAATATTGTTTTAAAGAAAGAAAAAACGTGTGTCATCATTTAAAGCCCCTCTAAAGTGTTGGGAGCCTCAAATTCGCGAACATTTTTATGGCAAGATTTCTCTTAAATTGTATCATAATGTGAAAGAGGATGTAATTTAAGACACATTTCTATGTGTTTCAAGACAAATATTGGTAAATGAATATATATAACTTTGGTTTTTTGTTGTACCCAGAAAATCTGGATAATTATCTTATTCTTTCATCCATATTCGACTTCAAACACATTTTTGAAAAAAATTATAAAAATGTGTCTTAATTGACATTCTCTTTCACATTATGATACAATTTAAGTGAAATGTTGCCATCAAAATGTTTGGGGCTTCCAACACTTTAGAGGGATAACCACCGTAAAGCGTATATTTGCCGTTATAATTATTTCAAGAATATTTTGTCCATTGATACTCCCCCCCCCCCCCCCCTCCCCCCTCACTCCGAGAACGGAGGGATACCATGCGTGTTACTAAAATGTCATGTATAAAGGGGTACTTTTCGTGCTACAAAGTCCGGCCCGAGAATTGTAAAAAAAGGGGGTGTATTTGACTTTTAGGTGTTTTTTCTTTTTTTTCTCTCTCATCTCTTGGTCTCCTGAGAAATAAAAAAGGGGGTTATAAAATATCTTCAAAATAGAAAAATTGATCAAATCCCGCGATCAAATTTCAGAAAATTCTAAATAAGTCTCAATATCAGGCTCTGAAGTAATTATTCAGTGGTGATATAATACTATGCAGATAAGTGAGCATATAAATAATTTGAAGACTTAGTTTATTCTTACAAGGTATAAATGAAAACACAAGCACAGACATTTTAGTGCAATATTCAAGTTTGTATTTCATGTGCTAAATGTCTGTACGTAATCTTGTTGTTTATTTTATACAGATCGAATTGTTATAATGACTTCAGTTTAGCGCAGGCTGAGTTCCTTGGGGTATTCCCTGGGTGTGTGAGCCAACCAGTAATGACAGCTTATCTGAGATGAGGGGGGGGGGGGGGTGTCTGCATGTCCTGAGATAGGGGGTACATTGAGCAATGTTCCGGATTTAGGGGGGTCTCTAAGGCAGGAAAAGCCCGCGAAAAGCCCGCGTAAGGGGGTTCGGAAATGTTGGCATTCCTCAGATAGGGGGTGCTTTCAAAAAGAGGGAACAAGCATATTGCGTACCCTAAATAACACTGAGCGGGGGGGGGGGGGGGTGATACTATAGTAAAAAATGTCCTCAAAATGAGGTACTGCATACAATCATGATCTGATGGTTTATGTCTTTATGTGTTTTCCTGGATTAATTTCGTAATCAGTATTGCGTTTGCGATACCACTTATAAATGTTGGTTGTTTTCTAAAGAACAAACAATTCTAAACCCCCCCCCCCCCCCAAAAAAAAAAAAAAAAAAAAAAAAAATTGTATAGGTATGGAATATTTCTATTGTACTAGAGTGGAAATCTTTATTGGGGGAGTAATACTATTTGGTATCATTTCGATTGATGTGAAAATTCACACTAAAAAAATGGATCTTATATACCCTCAAAAGAGTTGGAATTGATTCAGCTCCAAAGGAAATGACCCCAAGTGTATTTTCACTCCTCTGCATGCATATAAAGATAACACCCTTCAAGGATTTTGAACAGTAGGGTCCATGGTTATAAGTTGTGTGCACTCTTTGAAGTGTATAGTCCCAGCAACATTGTGTTTGAGTCTGGAGTGGAATCCTGAGTCACACAATGGTGGTCGAACCAATAACAAGCTCCTAATATAGTACAAGCTCCTTTGTCACACACTAGAAGCAAAGCACCAAGACAGTAACAAGTTTTTGAGACCGAGACCGTGGTCTCGCTAAATAACCCCTAAACCAAACTGGGTACAAATAACGGGGATAAAATACACCCATGCCTGGCCCAGTAGAACATTTTTTAAACAAAGATTTAATATTTAAAAATAATGATGTTAATGGAGGAGGGGGTACACTAACGATAAAGAAAGTGAATAAAGTGTGAGAGTGAGAGAAGAGAGAGAGAGAGAGAGAGAGAGAGAGAGAGGAGAGGAGAGGAGAGAGATAGAGAGAGAGAGAGAGAGAGAAAGAAGAGAGAGAGAGAGAGAGAGAGAGAGAGAGGGGGGGGGGGGGGGGGAGGCGGCGCGGGGCGGTGAAGAAAACTGAAAAGGTGGTTCATGAGTGGCGGTGTTGGTTATCACTGAGTCGACTTATGATATGCAAAAACTATGTCATTGCATTATAGAAATTCCTATTTCTTAACAGTTTTCAAATTTTGAAAATAAGTCCTTCCATTGGCATCGGGCTATTATAATAGTGAATGGGATACCAGAAAATAGATGTCAATGCAATGAAATCAATGTAATACACTAGATCAGTCAACAGTCAAAGATTAATTTGTGGCACGATTTATGCTTGACCAGGATTATGGATATATACACAAAATCTTCATAATAATAAAAAGATATATACAATGGATGATGGATTGTACGTGACAGTTCCCCCACCATGCACCCTCCCCCCCCCCCCCCCCCCCCTCTAATTTAGTTTTGCATGGGGTTGCATGTCTCCGGTTTGACGCCCATGCTTCCGAGAACGTGATTCTAAAGGGTAGGGCTTTGTGAGAAGAAAAGAACACGTACAATGCATAACAATAGATTTACGCATCAGTTGTTCGTCCATCACAGTATACTCTACAGCCAGAGAGTTTCTATCGCCCACTGCATAGATCCCGGCTTTCACAGTGAAATACCACTACCAGGGCGTTCACTTGCACTGCCACTGTCGCCGTTAATCCGCTGTGCAACTTTGCTGTTAACGGCATTGTGTAAATGGCTTCATTTCAAAGTTGCAATATTTCAGTCAAGTAAATAATATAAAGAAAAGCTGAATTGATCATGATGGATGTGAAGATGATCAGACTGAAACTCTACCAATCTACGATATGGACATTATTCATGGCAATTTGTTTATCAGAAGGTACGTACTTGATACTAATTACTAGTGTGACTGTGAGTGCAGTGAGTCATAACAACACTGCAACAATAATGTGTAAGGCCTCACGCAAATGAATGAAAGTGCATTTGCCGATGCCTTCATAAACCATCTAGCCACATTAATTCATTTTAAGAAGACAGTGAAATACGATTTTCTCTCTTCCCTCTCATAAATTTGTCTAATTAATATATGATTTTTCTTTTGGTGTGTGAAGTGTGATACATATATATAACAAATTTAATCCAAGATCCACCCACCTGTTAAATATTCTCTGTGTAAAGTGTATAGGCTTACATTGTGGTAGTGGTTGTAAGTGTATATTTATCATTATTATGGTTAATTTGACTAATATTAATAAGGAAAACTTTGCACACGTAGTGTACACTTTGGTTTCTTTAATTTCTATTATCATTATAGATAAATATACAATTATATATATAGAGGCTCAATATAGAGCGCTATACAAGAACTATATGCAAGGAGTAAATTAACTCCTTGCTATACTACATGTATACAAATAGGGCAAGTTTAGGCAAATATCAAGAGTTAAATGATATAAGATTATAATTTGGGAATAATTAATTAAAGGGATGTATTACACTTGTAAATTATTCTACTTTGGCTGTTTTTTTTAAAAACAGTATTCTTATAAATTTGCATCAGAAAAAGCTTTTATTTTACTCTGTCTTGGTTATAATTACTCTTCTGAAAACATAAATGTTGTGTACTTGAGATAACCAATTAAAGAAAACTGTAGAATTTGGAGAAATATGTGAATTCAGATTTTCAAAGTGAATCATGGGCCCTATTATGTTTGTGGTAGTAGTTTGTGGATATGGTCGGATGAATATTGCATTTTGTGGTTCTTTTATTTGTCATTGTCTGAACCAGAACATTGTTTCATGAAACCATCATAAGTTCAAGGCCGACATCCCAGTGAATCATGTTTAAAATTTAATACATGCATTTAAATGGGTTGTCTGCGAACTTGTACTTATGACGGTTTCATGAAACACTGCTCAGTACCTGGTGGTAGGCCATGATACATATTTTACCAGGAGTTGAAGAAGAAAAAAATACCAACGAATACATTTATATGTCTTCTACATTTCTGGAATACCTGTCTTAAAGGGAAATCCAACCCAAATAGACAACTACTCTAAAAGAAAACAGACAAAGTAGAGAAGCAAACTGATGAAAGTTTCAATTAAATATAAGAAAGAACTGAATTTTTGAAAGTTGTTATCATTATACGCATGGGCACTTCAAATTGGCTGAAGCGGTAATGTCAATGTGATGTAGTGCCAGACTGCTTTCCTATCTATTCCAACATATATGTAAAATGACTAAAATTTTAAATTTGTCCACAAAATCATGGCTCATCAGGAGGGTCTTTTCATTTTAGAGGACAATATATTTTGAGTAATGCCCAGGAGAAGGAACTTACGAGAAAAACAAAAATTAGTGATATCTTTGTACACTGCAGATGGGAGAGCTATCCACATTCTATGTCACAATCATTTGACCAAACTACCAATTTGAGATAGGCATCTAGACTTATAGTGATCTCATATTTCAAAAATTCATAACTTCCTTACTTTTGGTCCGATTCATTTCAAACTTTTCCCATTCTGTTTCTGTTATTTTTCTGCTTTCATACAAATTAACTTATCACAAGGGTTGGATTGCACTTTAATTAATAAAGAATTGCGAATAAACTTCAAGTG